CCAGGCAAGGATGCAGACCGCAGGCCAGACAGGCTGGGCAGCCTGGCTCACAGGGTGGGATGGGGCAGGCCGGGCAGTCTGGCTCACAGCTGCAGGAGAGGCTCGAGGAGAGGCGGCTGGGGGTGGGGTGCTCCCGCCGAGGCAGGGGTAGCCTGCCTGGAGTATAGGGCAGGGCACCGGCTGAGGTGCACAGACAGGGCACCGGCAAGTCAATAGGACACAAACAGGCCCTGTGGCCGGCGCATCCAGCCCTGGAGGGTTGGACGCACCCAGCCCAGGACTCCAGGAAGAACTTCCTAAGCTCTCTCTCACCACTCTCCCTCCATGGCCAATGGACCCAAGTGGACCCAGGGAGCCAGACCACACCAGGCACGGGAATAGGAATCCTTTATTGATCACAGAGGTGAGGCAGGGCCTCAGGGGGCCCTGCCTGGCCACCCCGCTGGGCACCGGGCGCTCGGGGCAGGGGCCTGGACGGAGGGGCCTAGGACTCGGATTCAAACATCTTCTTCCGGCCCTCCATGCCAGACTTCTCCTCGATGTTCTTCCTCCAGTCACCCACATCACGAAGGTCCCGCTCCTGGGGTGGTCCAGACACGCCTCAGGCCCAGGCCCACCACCCGCACACCGCCGCGGCCTCCCCTCCTCACGTGGGGGGCGGGGCTGACCCCGCAGCCCGGCTGGGTGGGTGGGGGGGGTGCAGGCCTCGGCCTCCCCTCCTCATGTGGGGGGCGGGGCTGACCCCGCAGCCCGGCTGGGCAGGGGGGGTGCAGGTCTCGGCCTCCCCTCCTCACGTGGGGGACGGGGCTGACCCCGCAGCCCGGCTGGGCAGGGGGGGGGGTGCAGGCCTCGGCCTCCCCTCCTCACGTGGGGGACGGGGCTGACCCCGCAGCCCGCAGCTGTGGACACCACGGGAGCCCAGGCCTACCTTCTCTGTGTCCTCCTTCTTGACCTGCTTCAGGTTGGCCCGCAGGTCCATGCACACCTTGTGCTTGGAGCCCAGCAGCGCCTTGAGCATGGCGTCGGCGGACATGCGCACACGCCGCAGAGGAGGCCTCTTGAACTTGCCCCTCAGGTCGAACAGCTTCTGGTTCATGTCTTCCAGCTGGGGGGGGCGTGGGAAGGGGGTGGGTGCCCGGTAGCCACCTGCCCCCCCCCGTGCCGTCCCTGCCCCCCCACCGTGCCGTCCCCGCCCCCCCCGTGCCGCCCCCACCCCCCCCGTGCCGTCCCCGCCCCCCCCCGTGCCGTCCCCGCCCCCCCCCCGTGCCGCCCCTACCCCCCCCCCCGTGCCGTCCCCGCCCCCCCGTGCCGCCCCCGCCCCCCCCCGTGCCGTCCCCGCCCCCCCCGTGCAGTCCCCGCCCCCCGTGCCATCCCCACCCCCCCCCGTGCCGCCCCCGCCCCCCCGTGCTGTCCCCGCCCCCCCCCCCCCCCGTGTCTCCTGGTCCATCTCATCTGGCCCACCCCTCTGTCACCTCGCCCTACCTTCGCATCACCTTTACTGTGTCCCCTGGCCTCACTCCCGGCCCTGCCTGCTCACCTCCTTGCTGCTCTTCTGCACCTTCACCTCCATGTCGTACTTCTCCTCCTCTGCCACGTCGATCTTAGCGTGCAATTGCTTGCAGAGCTCCTGGGGTGGACAGGCAGCAGGTGGGCAGCCACCCCCCCCCAGGGCTGCAGGAGCCCATCCACGCCCTGCCCTCCCCCCGCCTGACCCCCGTCCCTTGGAGAAGCCGGGGAGGCAGGCGGGCGGCGGGCAGGTGAGCTGTGCAGAGCCAGTACCTGGACTTCAGACATGGAGCCAGGGATGTGCAGGGGAGGGCAGTGCTCGGACAGGTAGTTCTGCTTCTCCGACTCGCGGCGGCTCTCCTCCTTCTCCAGCTCTGTGGCCGCGATCTGGAGCATCACACTCTGGAGGGCGGGGGGGGGGGGGCGATGTGAAAGACCGCAGCCTAGCCCGGCACCCCAGCACCCCGCATCCCGGCACCCCACACCCCGGCACCGCCCCACCGCCGCCCATACCCACCTTCAGGTGCTGTCTCCGGGCCGTGATGGCCCTGTTGCGTTTCTGCGGGACAGGGCGGAGGGAGGAGAGTCAGGCTGCTGATGGGGTCCCTGGTAGGTGGCTGAACCCCGGCTCTCAGCAGCACCCAGTCCGGGGGTGGGGGGCTGCACCTGGGACTCTCAAGGTGGTCCTGCCCAGGGTCCCACTTCCCAGCCCAGGCCTACCATCTGACCCCAGTGGGCACAAGGCGTGGGGGGGGGTGCTGGAGGTGGAGATGAGGAGGGAGGGGGGGGCCTGGCTTCAGAGCTATGGCCATGAAAATGGGGACAGAAGCCAGAAGTGTCCTGGGCCCTGGGTGGGGGAGCAGGGGGATGCGGTGCACTGCCTTCACCCGTCAGGCACGGTGGCCACGCCCCCCGCCAGTATTCCCAGGGGGCGGAGCACTTTTAGGGGAGTCTTCTCTATCTCTTGAAGCTCTGCCCTCTGACCTTTCCCAACCAGATGCTGCCCCCCACCCCCGGTGGTACTCACCTCCTCACTGTCCCGGAGGTACAGGGGGTGGGGGAGGAAAGAGAGAGGTCAGGACATGGAAGCAGGAGTGGGTGGGCCCAATGGGGCAGGCGCACTGCTGGGAGCAATGCAGGGGTCGCCCGGCCTCCCCCAGGGAGAGGGGCTGGTCAGCAGGGGTCGCCCGGCCTCCCCCAGGGAGAGGGGCTGGTCAGCAGGGGTCGCCCGGCCTCCCCCAGGGAGAGGGGCTGGTCAGCAGGGGTCACCGCCCCCCCAGGGAGAGGGGCTGGTCAGCAGGGGTCACCGCCCCCCCAAGGAGAGGGGCTGGTCAGCAGGGGTCGCCCAGCCTCCCCCAGGGAGAGGGGCTGGTCAGCAGGGGTCGCCCGGCCTCCCCCAGGGAGAGGGGCTGGTCAGCAGGGGTCATCGCCCCCCCAGGGAGAGGGGCTGGTCAGCAGGGGTCCCCATGCTGGGTGCCACTTACTCCCCCATCCTGAAGTCTTGCGCTTAGAAGCTGTAAGATGAGAGAGGCCGAGACATCAGGGCCTGGCCGGCACAGCGCCCCAGGCCGCACCCACCTGCCCTAGCTCCCCGCCCCACGTCCGGGGGACAAGAGCCTGGAGGAATCCCGGGGTGAGAAGTAAGAGGAGATGCGCTCCCAGAATGTCCCGGCGGGGCCCGAGGAGCCCAGCTGTCCCCACGGAGGCAGCACAGGTGCCAGCGCCGCAGCTATTTTTAACTCTGCTCCTTTGGCATTGGACTTAAAGACAGGGAGGAGAGTGCGGTCTGGGGGCTCCTGCCCGGCTGGCGGACCCCCAGCCCTCCTGCCAGGGGTCCCACACCCAAGTTTGGACATCAGAGGCCTGTCCGACACCCCAGCCTCCTCCGAAGCTGCTCCCCGTGTCTCCTCCCCCTGGGGCAGAGGCCCAGAAGAGCTGCCGTGGCCCCCTCTGCCCCCCCACGCCCCGGCCCCGGCATGCTAGAGCAAGCTTCCTTGCACATTCTCCTACGCTCTGGCCGTCGGGGCCGGGCCGGCCTCACCTAGAGTCAGGGCGTCAGGGCCGGGAGTGAGATCCGGGCCAGGAGCAGCGCACTGGGCTGTGGCCCCGTGGGAGGGGTATAAATGACCTCCTGCAGGCCAGGCCCCTGCTCAGAAAGGGCATGAAGTCCTCCTCAGACCAATGGGGGCACAGCAAGCCGGAGAAGCCCCCACCTGCCCAGCGGCCATGGCCCGGCCCTGCACTTGCCTGTCCAAGAAGTCTTGGGGGGGGGGGGTGGAGGAGGGATTGGGTTGCTCTATTTAGGTCTCAATGACGAGTCTGAGATGCCGGACTTGTTCTTGAGAAGAGCCTGGGGACAGCGAGTGAGCATGGCCTCGTGTGGCTTCGTGTGGGGCTTCTGACTGGCACAGGCCCGGACATCAGCCCAGGGCCTACACACCGGGGGGGGGGGGGCCCTGACATCCTGTCCCCCTCCACACCGGTGTCCCCTGTGCCCTCCTGTGAGGCCCCGTGGTTCTGCCCCCCCTGATCCCCCGGCCGGCCAGGTGCTGTCTCCCTGGCCACCCCCCAGCAGATCGCCCCCAAGTCAGCCCAGAGCCCGCTCCGGTGGTGGTGTGGGGCATGTGTCCCCTTCTGTGAGCCTGGACCTCCAGTCAGGCCCCGGGGTCCTGCAGGGTGGACCCCACGAGGCAGATGCTCCCCTCCGTGTGACCCTGCCTGCGCCTCTGGGAGCCGGGCACGAGGTCCCCCCCGGAGACGGGCCGCTCCCAGCCCGCCACGGCACCCCGCCCGAGGCTCCTCATGGGAGCTTGGAACCCATCCTTCAACCGCGGGGGTGGTGGCGCCACCACCCTGGGAACCTCCCTCTGACCCCAGGGGGCCTGGGGCCCCGTGGCCGCCCGGGCAGGCCCCGCGCCGCCCTTCTCACCGGAGAGGGGGCCTTCGCCCCTGGCCCGCCCTCGTGAGCCCCACCCTGCCGATCCCCAGCCTCCAAGCCCTGCCCGCACCCCGGCCCGTGGGGGCCAGAGGGAGGTTGGAGCCGCTAAAGCTGTCCAGATGTAGGGGGGGGTTAGGAGGTGCGTCCTCAGCCAGGGCTGAACCCCCAGAGGCCCCCCGAGCACTTCCGAAGACATCTGCTGCCCCCTGCTGCTCGTGTGGAGAGGCTCTGTGCCGCTGGTCCCCCGAAGGGCCAGGCACTACGCAGTGGCCCTGTGCAGGGCCAGCCAGGTTCCCCACAGGGCATCCCTACTGGCCAGAGCTGGAGAAATCTCTCCCTCCTCTGCGGGGGCCCAGGCCTCCTTCGGCGACTCAGGCCTGCGTGTGGAGAGGTGGCACACACTGCCCCGCGTGGCCACGCTGCTGGGCCCGCCCTTCGTCGGCATCCCCTCACCCACTCAGGCATGGCTGAAGAGTGTTTATTACCCAAAGAAACCTTGGGACAGTCTGTTGAAGGGCCTGGGCTCTGCCTAGGAAAACTGAGGCCTGGCGCATCTTCAGGAGCCAGGCACAGGCAGGCGCAGGCGGGGCTTTAAGGCCAGGACAGCGTCCACCTCCCTGGGGGGCCGCAGACTGTGCCACTGAGTGATGGGCCTCCGAGCATGGGCCAGCATGTCCGCCCAGTGCTGCAGCGGCTGCCCCGAGGCCCGGGCGCCCAGCAGCACCTTGCCCACAGGCTCAGCCCGGAGATGTGGGCCACGGGCCCAGACAGCTAGCACCAGGTCCACACTCTGCAGAGACGGGCCGGGGTGGGGAGAGCACGTGATCAGCCCGGCCACGCGTGTGCACACGTACCAGCCACTGCCCCTCTGAGCCCTCCCCGTCAGCTGCCCACCTGGATCTGACTGGCTGGCACTGGGAAGCTGAAGGCCTGGTTGAAGTAGGGGGCAGCTGTGCCCTTCCGGGGAGAGGTAGTCCTCTTCTTCCATTTCCTCTGGTTCAGCATGAGCTGGACCTTCACATAGGGCTCTGGAGGCCCACAGGGGACAGGGGAGGTCTCACCATGGAGAGTCCAGCACGAGGTTCCCAACCCTTTGTCCACCCAAGAGGGCAGAGGTGGCTCTCACCTGCCAGCCTGGGACCCAGGCCGCGGGCCTCCAGCACCACCACCGTCAGGCGGCCCGAGCCGGGCACGTACTGCAGCGACAGGCACAGCTCGCCGCTCCGCTCGGGCTGCAGGCGGTGGGAAGCCGGGGGAGCTCCATCCAGGCCTGGGGCGCTCAGCCCCCGTGGGCCCTCCCCTTGAGCCTCAGTCTCCCCCCAGGGCACGAGGCCGGGCTCCCCTCCAGCTCTGCCTCACCTCCACCGTGCCAGGGGGGCCCAGCTGGTACCAGCGCTCCAGAACATGCTGGAGGTCCACGGCGGCCAGAGGCAGGTGGAGTTCCCCCAGAGGCTCGTGCTCCGAGAAGCGCCTGAAGTCCAGCAGCCGCACCTGCAGGGCTGCTCGGGGCAGCTCTTCCCGCGGGACCTGTGGGTAGGGCTGTGAGCCGGGGCCGGGCCACGCCGGTCAGACCCTGCACCCGCCCAGGCCAGCCCGGCTCCGTCTCCCCCACCCGCCCCCACCCACCCCCACCAGCCCAGCGAGACTCACGGGGAAGCAGCAGGTTTCCTCGAACACGGGGCAGAGCGTGCCGCGGTGCACCTTGCTCTCGTGCCCTCGCCCGGCCTGGGTGGAGATGCTGAGGCGCGCGTAGGGGTCTGCGGTGCCCTCGGCCCGCAGGTCTGCGGCGCGCTTCAGACCCACTTTGATCTGGGAACCGCAGGTGAACTCAGCCCGGGGGGGGGGGGAGGGCAGCGACCCCCCCCCCCCCGCCCCGCTTCATCTAGCCCGGCAGAGCAGCCTCACCTCCTGGCACGCAAAGTCATACTCTAGAGAGAGCAGGATGCGCCCCCGCTGCTGGGCCCCCCCAACGCTGGCCTCCAAAGCGTCCACATCTGGCTGCACCTGGATGCGCGGGGACAGAGCAGACTGTGTGGCTGGGACCACAGCACGCGGGACCGTGCCCCATGGGCTCCCGGGCCGCGGCCCCACGCCTAAACCCAGCACTCACCACCCCCTCTTCCAGGCCCGGCCACCGGAGGGGCTTCACCAGACTGTTCAGCCGCAAGCAGACACGGGGCAGCTGGGGCCCCATGGCCTTCCCCCAGGGACCGACCTCTGTCCCTCCTTTGCCCCGTGTCCCCCTCCCCCTGGGGCATCCACCTCCTCCCACCGGTCGGCGTGGGCCCCTGCCTCCTGGCAGCTCCTCACCAGGTGCGCGGCTGTGCAGCTGGAGATGCGGCCCAGGCCCACGGCCTCCTTGTCCCCCGGCTGTTTCCGGCGGCGCTGGCGGCGGCGGCAGTGGAGAGCGCAGAGCAGACAGGTGGCAGCGAGGACCCCCGCAGCCAAGGCCAGGGCGAGAAGACCCCAGCCGGGCCCTGGCCAGGCGTGGGAGGCTGAGGTCTTTCCATGACCTCGGGCCTCCCTGGGCAAGGCCAGCCCCACGCCCCCGTGGGGGGTCCCACCACTCACAGGGGGTTCTGGACACGAGGTCTGGAACCAGCCCAGGCGTGGCTGTGGTGCCGGCCGGGGTCGGGGTTCCGTGGGGGTCTGGCGTGAGCCCCATGTTCCGCTCCTGCAGGTTGGGAGAGGGCTATCTGTGCAAGGGCCCTGGGGCCTCTGCCGGCCATGCTGCTGGGGCAAGGAGGACGCCTGGGGTGGCCAGGCTGGGCTTGGGAACCCAAAGAGAGGAAGGCGCTGGGCCTTGGCCAAAGCAGTGGCTAGTGCCCAGCCTCCTGGCCACCTCCCGCCCCCAGCCCCAGCCACGTAGGCCAGGCCTGGGCAGTGGGGTCTCTGCCCTTGCTGGCACTCTCGCATGGACTGTCCCCCTCTGCAGGGAGCCCGGGCCTTCCCCAGGGTTCATCTCATCCTTGGGAGAGGGTCTGCCCCCATGGGAGAGCAAGCCCATCCCCCTACCCTGCCCCCCGGCCCACCAACGTGTCCACACGCAAGCCACAAGCGTGCCCACGGGTAAACCACAAACGTGCCGCCGGGTAGACCTGTTCACTATGGCCCTGGGCCCAGAAGCATTTGGGACATGAGGAAGGGGCTGTGTGGATCAAAGGGAGCCCGGGGTCCTGGGATCGGGGCCGGGCCTTGCTTGAGCAAGCCCGGCTGAAGCACTTCCCTGGCATGGGCACTGGGCCAGCAGTGCCTGGAGAGACGAGGGCGAGGCAGGGGGGGGGCCGGGGGGGCACGGGAGGGCCAGAACATTCCTGTGCTCTGACTCACTGCCTGCCCAGACTCGCTTACCTGCCTGCCCGGCCACCTTGGCACCTGCCCGGACGGCGGCACCCCACCTGCCCGGGGCCCTGGGGAGGCCGAGTACCTGGCAGGCCAGCTCCTCCCACCCAGGAGCAAGGAAGAAAGGGAGGCAGCTGCTGGACAGGCCTCTCCAGCTGTGCCCACAGAGCCTGCCGCCGCCTCTGCCATGCCCAGCAGACTGGCCGTCAGGGCCCAGAATGGGGATGAACAGGTGTTGGGCTGGCTGTCACCCCTACCTCTGTGCTAGAGCCTGGTGAGAAGAGAGGGCTCCACAGTGAACCCCAACATGAGATCCGCAGCAGCAGCAGGGCTGTGCTGCCCAGTGCACGGAGGGAGGCATGGTCCCGGAGCCACACACCCCTCAGAGCCGGGGGAGACCCCGGCAGGAGGGCAGAGCGGGGGGGTGCCCAGCCAGGGGCACAGAGGGCAGGGCCTGGGTCCAACGCCGCTCTGCCCGCCTGAAGTTTGTGCCGCTGCCTTGGGATTTGGTGATGGCCCTGGTCTATCATTCAGTCGTGAGCACCCGAAGATGGTGGGGGAGAGGGCTCTGAACTTTCAGGGCATGCAGCCCCCTGCCCGCCGCCCACTTTCTTTCTGGGGCCACTACAGATGAGCCCTGCAGCTGGCATGTGGCTCTGAAGCTCCCTGAGGGCAGTGGTAGCACTGATGGGCAGGAATTTCTGAGGGTCTCGTGGTGTCCCTAGAGCAAGGCAGCCTCCCCCACCCAGAGGCCAAGGGCATCTTTTTTATACCTGTGCACTCTGGAAATATAATGTTATTGATTAAAGGGTTTTGCAGCGGGGAGGGGGGCTTTTGGAGTGGGTTGATGGTTGTGGGACTTGAACTCAGAGCCTGGGAGCTGTCCCTGAGCCATCTTTGTGCTCAAGGTTAGCGCTCTACCACTTGAGCCACGGCACCACTCCCGGTTTTTGAATGGTTAACTGGAGATAATGAGTCTCACGGAGACTTTCCTGTCCAGGCTGGCTTTGAACTGCGATCCTCAGGTCTCAACCTCCTCAGTAGCTAGGATGACAGGTGTGAGCTATGGGTGCCCAGCTGTTTGAGGTTTTTTTGAGTTGGGATCCATTGCCACACGATCTCCGTGTTTATGTGCACATGGGCACCTCTCCCCATACCCTTGTTTGGCCTCTCTCCCTCGGTCTGAGAGCTGGCAGGCAGGGACAGGGAGGGCCTTGGAGGATGAGGGGACGGCCTTTCGGAGCCGCCTGGTGGAGCTCCCTGTCAGAGCATCACAGGGGCTGCCTTGGGAAGGCCTGGAAAACTTGTGGTCCCTCCGGACCTCCAGGTTCCCGTGGAGGTAAAGGTTTGGGCGGCGTGCAGCCACCAGGTGGCGCTGTCCCCCCTACTGGCTCCAGCTGCTTGGCTGTGCCCAGCCTCTGGATGGGGTCTGGGGGGGAAAGTGGGGGGGAAGGACCCGAGAGCCCTGGGCAGGACACACATGAGGAGCAACTCATGGGCACCGTGCCCGGGGGGTCTCTCTCTCCCCTCTTCTCTTCCCCAGGGACTCAGCTGCCCATTGCTAGGACAGTGCCACGCTTGCTGTCCATCTGTGACCCTGCTAAAGAACTATCTCGTGACGGGCCCTGTCAGACCCCGGAGCCCTCCCCTGTGGTTCCTCCCCACCCAGGTCCTCCCTGGCCCTTCCCCGCCCGGGCTGCTCAGCCCTGCCTCCTCTGGGGAGCCCCCAGCCCTACACCACAGCCCCCTCCCCTCCCAGCACCTCTCCCAGCTGGACCCCAGCAGAACAGCAGCACTGGGTCCCATGGCTCAGGACTTGGGCCTGTTCTCCAATTCCTCCCCAAGTTCCACAGGGCTTGTTGGTCTTCCAGGGGAGCGCACGGCTCAGGCCTCTCCCGGGAGGACCGGTCCCCCCACGTGGGGGGCAGCACCCTCTCACCTGATGCCCGCCGTTCACCGTGGTCAGCTGGCCTCGGCCGGCCCTGCTATCGGACAGCGCGTGGGGCCTGTGGCCGGGGTTTTGCGTTGGCTCCGTCTGGAGTGGAAGGAAGGGGTGTGGGAGGCAGGGCTTTGGGGAGCCCCACCTCATGACTGGGGAACTCCCCTGGGAAAGAAGGCTCCCCCCTCAAATCCTAAAGCCCGGTGTCTGGATTCTCGCTACTTCCAGGGGTCCTGAGCACCACCGGGCTCAGCAGGAAGGGGTGAAGGGCGCACGGGGTGGGCCTCTGTAAGGCGCGGCCGTGGGCTGCCAGCCCCTCAGCCTGCTCACCTGGACACAGTGCTGGCCATGCCACCGCCCAAGCCTCCCCTGGGTTCTGGGTTTTGTCGGGCAGGGCGGGGGGCGTGAAGCCCAGGGCCTGCCACAGTGCAGTCTAACCTCAGAGCCGACTGCTTGCTTCTGTTGGGCCTGGGCAGGGTTTGCCGTCCAAGTGCGAGCCCCCGGTGCCAGGCCAGTAGATCAGGTCTGGTCACTTCAGGGCCGAGGCCAGGATGGCTCACCAACGCCTTATCTGTGGCTGGCGCCGGAGGTGGGACCAGTTAATGCTTAACGAGAGTCGTCCAGCCGAGGCAGGCCACAGGACGGGGCAGGCAGAGGCCAGGCTGCGGGGTCCTGGGGGGCTGAATGGCTCCGGCACGTCACCCCACATGGACACGTGCAAGGGTCTGTCCCCTGGTGCCACTCCAACCCGAGATTGCAGCTGCTCTCTTATTCAGCCTGGGCCCAACAAGACCCCCAGCCGAGGAGGCCCCTGGGAGCCCCAGGCCCGGACCCCGCGGAGCCCCGAGCCCCGAGAGCTGCTCCCCCGACCCGGCTGTATGGGGGCTTTGTGCCTCTCCAGAAGAAGGGCGTCCGCGGCCAGACGGCGTCTGAGGTTCCCGGGCAGGAAGGAGAAAACCAAACAGAGCTGGCAGCCTGAGGGCCGGGCCGACGGCCCCCAGACAGCGGCTTGGCAGCCAGCAGCCCGTGGAGGGCTGGCGGGGCTCCTGGGGGGGGGGGGGGCTTCCTTTGAGGGCCTGGGGAATGTTTGAGGTAAGAACTCTGGCTGGGGAGCGGGGAGCCGCTGGTGCAGACGCTGCCAGGGACCAGGCCCGCTGGGTCAGCACGCGGGCCCTCTGCCCACGCCGACCCCGACGCACGGGGCATGCTGCTCACCTGGAGCCTGGCGTGGCAGGGACGGGCCTCTGTGCTTCCGTCCTAGCCCGTGTGTGCCTCGGTTACCCTTGATGCTGGCTGTCTGCATCCCAACATCCTGGCATCCCAGTGAGCCTGTACCCCACCAGCTAAGCACATGGTGTGACAGTGCCCTAATCCCTAATCATCCAGGGAGTCTGGGTCTCCCACCTGAAAGCCGCACCGGGGCAGCACCAGCCGCGGCCCAGCCTGGGGGAGCTTGTGCTCAGGCCCCAGAAGAGGTCCTGTGCCCGAGCCTGGGCAGCGCTTTGCACACGGTGGCTACGCAGCTGAATCCTTGGGTGTGCACCCCGCATCCTGCCCACCTGTACCCCGTTTCCGGGATGCAAGCCCATCGTGGATGGCTGTGTGCAGGCAGCCCTGCCGTGTGAGGATGCTCCCGGAAGTCTCCGGAGCCTGGGGTCCGGGCCTTCATTCCCTCTAGCGTTGGGGTCCCCGTTGTTCAGGGCAAGCCTGGAGTTAGTATCTTTGTGCTTGTGAACACCCAGAGTGCACCCCAGCTGACCCACGGCCCGGGGGTCTGGGCGGAGGGCCGCTCTGTTCCACACCGCCTGTACCCAGCTTTCTGGGCACACCGATTCACCTACTGACACTTCACCCGTGGCCCAGTGAGCTGGCCCGGGGCCGGGGCCTCTTTTCTGTGTGTCCCATTCTCCCGGGTCCGGCTCTCTGTGTGCCATTCGTCCCTGCACTGGGCCGCCCACCCGCCAGCCACCCTGGTGTCTGGATCTCTACCTGCCGGACGAGGCCGGTGCTTCCCTCCGTGGCGGATGGGCTGAATCTGCGCTTTGCACCCCACTAATCCCAGTGCCTGGTTCCCCACGTCCCGCTGGGCTCAGGTCTCGTCCCTGTGCCTGGCTAGTGGAGTGTCTGCCCTGTATCTATCAGCCCCGGGTTTTTGCCTCCGGCACCCGTGAGTGAGTGTGTTTCCCGGGCGTCCCGCACCTGTGGCTCATTGTCGGAAGTCCCTTCTGTTCTCTATGCCTGCTTACCTGAGCACCTTGGTCTCTATGCCTGGAAGGGTGGGGTCGCTGGGTCACATGGGCTTAGTATCTGGGTTCCTGCACCCCATAAGCTTTTGTGTCTTGTCCCCGCACCCCAGGAACCCAAATGCCAGGTCCCTACAACCATTCCCTGAGCGTCTGACTCCGGAAGCCACTTCTGAGCATAGCTGAAGCCTTGTTCTCCCTCAGCTGGAATCCAGGTCCCTGTACCTCGCCCCCACTTCACCGCGGGGACCCCCTGAGCACCGCTAGCCTGCCTTTCTTGTGTTTATAGCATGCAGCTGGGGGCTCTATGACCTGAACCCCACTCCTGGAGGACCGGGGAACGTATCCATCCTGACCTGCTACTTCTGGTGCTCATCTGAATACCTAAGATGATGTAACCCCGGGAGCTGGGCACCCCAGTTGCTGTGTGTCTGGGTGCCTGAGACACCCAGCCCCCCAGAGCCCTGCTCGCATCCTCTCCGTGAGAGCAGCTGCCGCTCCTTCTGGGCCTCCATCAGAGAAGCAGGATGCTCTGCACACAGGCACCCCTGGTCGCCTGAAGCTGGACACAGCCCTGCCCCTGCAGAGCCGGGGGAGGGGGACCCTGTCCCCCGTAGACACCTGTCTGTGCCCAGGCCCCTTGTCTGGGGTGGCTGGACAGACCCCTTGTCCTCAGCCTGGGTCCTGAGACAGCTCCTCTTCCTGGGAGCGCCCCCTCTTAGGCCTGAAGTGCCACGTAGTGAGTGGTGTGCACCCGGCCCCAGATCCGTGTCCTCTTCTCCACCACCCACATTTTGGACGGCGTGTCTTCCTTCCCCCGGGGGCGCTGGAAGCCCCCCTCCGCCCCCGCCTGTCTCTCACGTAGACCCACATCCCACAGCGACGGCCCTGGCAGCAGTTCTGAGCTCTGCCGTCTGGGCTGCCCATTAACCATCCATCACCGGCCAGCGTGCGGCCGGCAGGAGTCTGTGAACCCATTCATGCCTGCTCTGGGCAGGCGCTCCACCTCCGGCACTGGGAGTGCTGGGCCCCTTCCCTGGGAGCCCCACAATCCAGGAGTGTGCCCGGGAGGTAAACCCTGCTGATGGCCAGGAAGCCGGGCGGCCTGCACCCTGCAGCTCTGAGTCCTCGTGCCCGGGAATCCAGGGGTCCTGTCTTTGGTTGTGTGTGCTGGAGTCGGGGTGCTGTCGCCGCACCTCGCTCTGAGTGTGCACATCAGGCTGACCCAGGAATCCGCACAAGGGTGCCCTGCTCCCTCGTCAGCCCGCGAGGCGGCCGCGCCGCCCCCCAGGCTCCCGGGGCTCCCTTAGAACCACGTCAGGACTCAGCCCCCGGGTGGCCTGTCCGTGGGGCGTCTGGGCCCTGTTCACGCACAGCCCGTCCACCCCTGTCACGGAGTCTGTGCATTGTCACCGTGTCCCACCGCCTCGCCAGGCACATTCCGGGGTCTGGCCGGAGGCCAACACAAACGACTCAGCTGCTGGCGTGAGCACTGTGCGGAGAGCGCCACGGGGAGGGGGCCGCGGGCTAGGGGCACCGATCAAAGCCTTCCCTGTGCACACCGGGCCCCCTGGCCAAGGGCGTGCTGGGAGCCAAGCCCACCCCCCAACAGAGGCGTGACTGCCAGCAGGAGCGGCTGTGTGCACAGGGTGGAAGGTTCCAGACCCTCTACTGCGGCAGCCATTTCCTGGCCAGGCTGTTCCACCGACTGACTGCCTGGCCAGGAAGTGGGGGACACGGGCTCCAGACTCGTTACTCCCAGGGCAAGGCCAGGCTCAGGGGACAGAGACCCCACTGCCCACCTTGGACCTTGCTGGAGGTGCTCAGGGCCAAAAAGGCCCCCGGCAGGCGGGTGTCCAGCTGCCGCAGCCCTGCGCACTGGGCCGTGCCCTGGAGGACACGGGCCAGGTCACCCCGGTGTCAGAGGATGGCAGGGATGTGCCTGCGGCCTCCTGTGATCTAGGGGAGTCTGGGTGTCACACGGGCAGCTCCCGGCTTGGGTGAGACAGCATCTGGACCCTCACCTTCTGGGATCTTTATGAGACCCAGGAGCTGGCCAGGCACTCCCAGTGATGGGGGGGGCGCAATTTTCTCTGGGTGGTGGGCCCTCCTTGGTCTCTGGGTGTTGGGCCTTCCAATGTCCCTGGGTATGAGGGACAGTCCATGGTCTCTGGTGTGAGGGAGGGTCTGTGGTCTCTGGTATGAGGGATGGTCTGTGGTCTCTGGTATGAGGGACAGTCCATGGTCTCTGGTGTGAGGGAGGGTCTGTGGTCTCTCTGTGTGAGGGAGGGTCCGTGGTCTCTGTGTGAGGGAGGGTCTGTGGTCTCTGTGTGAGGGATGGTCTGTGGTCTCTGTGTGAGGGAGGGTCTGTGGTCTGTGTGTGAGGGATGGTCTGTGGTCTGTGTGAGGGATGGTCTGTGGTCTGTGTGTGTGAGGGATGGTCTGTGGTCTGTGTGTGAGGGAGGGTCTGTGGTCTGTGTGTGAGTGAGGGTCTGTGGTCTCTGTGTGAGGGATGGTCTGTGGTCTGTGTGTGAGGGATGGTCTGTGGTCTCTGTGTGTGAGGGAGGGTCTGTGGTCTCTGTGTGAGGGATGGTCTGTGGTCTCTGTGTGAGGGATGGTCTGTGGTCTCTGTGTGTGAGGGATGGTCTGTGTGTGAGGGATGGTCTGTGGTCTGTGTGAGGGATGGTCTGTGGTCTGTGTGTGAGGGATGGTCTGTGGTCTCTGTGTGAGGGATGGTCTGTGGTCTGTGTGTGAGGGAGGGTCTGTGGTCTGTGTGTGAGGGATCGTCTGTGGTCTCTGTGTGAGGGAGGGTCTGTGGTCTCTGTGTGAGGGATGGTCTGTGGTCTCTGTGTGAGGGATGGTCTGTGGTCTCTGTGTGTGAGGGATGGTCTGTGGTCTCTGTGTGAGGGATGGTCTGTGGTCTGTGTGTGAGGGATGGTCTGTGGTCTGTGTGTGAGGGATGGTCTGTGGTCTGTGTGTGAGGGATGGTCTGTGGTCTCTGTGTGTGAGGGATGGTCTGTGGTCTGTGTGTGAGGGATGGTCTGTGGTCTCTGTGTGTGAGGGATGGTCTGTGGTCTGTGTGTGAGGGATGGTCTGTGGTCTCTGTGTGTGAGGGAGGGTCTGTGGTCTGTGTGTGAGTGAGGGTCTGTGGTCTCTGTGTGAGGGATGGTCTGTGGTCTGTGTGTGAGGGATGGTCTGTGGTCTGTGTGTGAGGGAGGGTCTGTGGTCTCTGTGTGTGAGGGAGGGTCTGTGGTCTCTGTGTGAGGGATGGTCTGTGGTCTGTGTGTGAGGGATGGTCTGTGGTCTCTGTGTGAGGGATGGTCTGTGGTCTGTGTGTGAGGGATGGTCTGTGGTCTCTGTGTGTGAGGGAGGGTCTGTGGTCTGTGTGTGAGTGAGGGTCTGTGGTCTCTGTGTGAGGGATGGTCTGTGGTCTGTGTGTGAGGGATGGTCTGTGGTCTCTGTGTGAGGGAGGGTCTGTGGTCTCTGTGTGTGAGGGATGGTCTGTGGTCTCTGTGTGTGAGGGAGGGTCTGTGGTCTGTGTGTGAGGGATGGTCTGTGGTCTGTGTGAGGGAGGGTCTGTGGTCTGTGTGAGGGATGGTCTGTGGTCTGTGTGTGAGGGATGGTCTGTGGTCTGTGTGTGAGGGATGGTCTGTGGTCTGTGTGTGAGGGAGGGTCTGTGGTCTCTGTGTGAGGGAGGGTCTGTGGTCTCTGTGTGCGAGGGAGGGTCTGTGGTCTCTGTGTGAGGGATGGTCTGTGGTCTCTGTGTGAGGGATGGTCTCTGGTCTGTGTGTGAGGGATGGTCTGTGGTCTGTGTGTGAGGGATGGTCTGTGGTCTGTGTGTGAGGGATGGTCTGTGGTGTCTGTGTGTGAGGGATGGTCTGTGGTCTGTGTGTGAGGGATGGTCTGTGGTCTCTGTGTGAGGGAGGGTCTGTGGTGTCTGTGTGTGAGGGAGGGTCTGTGGTCTGTGTGAGGAATGGTCTGTGGTCTGTGTGAGGGATGGTCTGTGGTCTGTGTGTGAGGGATGGTCTGTGGTCTGTGTGTGGGATGGTCTCTGGTCTGTGTGTGAGGGATGGTCTGTGGTCTGTGTGTGAGGGAGGGTCTGTGGTCTCTGTGTGAGGGATGGTCTGTGGTCTCTGTGTGTGAGAGAGGGTCTATGATCTGTGTGAGGGAGGGTCTGTGGTCTGTGTGTGAGGGATGGTCTGTGGTCTCTGTGTGAGGGATGGTCTGTGGTCTTTGTGTGAGGGATGGTCTGTGGTCTGTGTGTGAGGGATGGTCTGTGGTCTGTGTGTGTGAGGGATGGTCTGTGGTCTCTGTGTGAGGGATGGTCTGTGGTCTCTGTGTGTGAGGGAGGGTCTGTGGTCTGTGTGTGAGGGAGGGTCTGTGGTCTGTGCGTGAGGGATGGTCTGTGGTCTGTGTGAGGGAGGCTCTGTAGTCTCTGTGTGAGGGATGGTCTGTGGTCTGTGTGTGAGGGAGGGTCTGTGGTCTGTGTGTGAGGGATGGTCTGTGGTCTGTGTGTGAGGGAGGGTCTGTGGTCTGTGTGAGGGAGGGTCTGTGGTCTCTGTGTGAGGGATGGTCTGTGGTCTGTGTGAGGGATGGTCTGTGGTCTGTGTGTGAGGGAGGGTCTGTGGTCTCTGTGTGAGGGATGGTCTGTGGTCTGTGTGTGAGGGATGGTCTGTGGTCTGTGTGTGAGGGATGGTCTGTGGTCTGTGTGAGGGAGGGTCTGTGGTCTGTGTGAGGGATGGTCTGTGGTCTGTGTGTGAGGGATGGTCTGTGGTCTGTGTGTGAGGGATGGTCTGTGGTCTGTGTGTGAGGGATGGTCTGTGGTCTCTCTGTGTGAGGGAGGGTCTGTGGTCTGTGTGAGGGATGGTCTGTGGTCTGTGTGAGGGGTGGTCTGTGGTCTGTGTGTGAGGGAGGGTCTGTGGTCTCTGTGTGAGGGAGGGTCTGTGGTCTGTGTGTGAGGGAGGGTCTGTGGTCTGTGTGTGAGGGAGGGTCTGTGGTCTGTGTATGAGGGTTGGTCTGTGGTCTCTGTGTGAGGGATGGTCTGTGGTCTCTGTGTGAGGGATGGTCTGTGGTCTCTGTGTGTGAGGGATGGTCTGTGGTCTCTGTGTGAGGGATGGTCTGTGGTCTGTGTGTGAGGGAGGGTCTGTGGTCTCTGTGTGAGGGATGGTCTGTGGTCTGTGTGTGAGGGATGGTCTGTGGTCTCTGTGTGAGGGAGGGTCTATGGTCTCTGTGTGTGAGGGATGGTCTGTGGTCTGTGTGAGGGATGGTCTGTGGTCTGTGTGAGGGAGGGTCTGTGGTCTGTGTGTGAGGGATGGTCTGTGGTCTGTGTGAGGGATGGTCTGTGGTCTCTGTGTGTGAGGGATGGTCTGTGGTCTCTGTGTGAGGGATGGTCTGTGGTCTGTGTGTGAGGGATGGTCTGTGGTCTGTGTGAGGGAGGGTCTGTGGTCTGTGTGAGGGAGGGTCTGTGGTCTGTGTGAGGGATGGTCTGTGGTCTGTGTGTGAGGGATGGTCTGTGGTCTCTGTGTGTGAGGGATGGTCTGTGGTCCCTGTGTGAGGGATGGTCTGTGGTCTGTGTGTGAGGGATGGTCTGTGGTCTCTGTGTGAGGGATGGTCTGTGGTCTGTGTGTGAGGGGTGGTCTGTGGTCTGTGTGTGAGGGATGGTCTGTGGTCTGTGTGTGAGGGATGGTCTGTGGTCTCTGTGTGAGGGATGGTCTGTGGTCTCTGTGTGTGAGGGATGGTCTGTGGTCTCTGTGTGAGGGATGGTCTGTGGTCTCTGTGTGTGAGGGATGGTCTGTGGTCTCTGTGTGTGAGGGATGGTCTGTGGTCTGTGTGTGAGGGAGGGTCTGTGGTCTGTGTGTGAGGGATGGTCTGTGGTCTCTGTGTGTGAGGGAGGGTCTGTGGTCTGTGTGTGAGGGATGGTCTGTGGTCTCTGTGTGAGGGATGGTCTGTGGTCTCTGTGTGAGGGATGGTCTGTGGTCTGTGTGTGAGGGATGGTCTGTGGTCTGTGTGAGGGATGGTCTGTGGTCTGTGTGTGAGGGATGGTCTGTGGTCTGTGTGTGAGGGATGGTCTGTGGTCTCTGTGTGAGGGATGGTCTGTGGTCTGTGTGAGGGATGGTCTGTGGTCTCTGTGTGAGGGAGGGTCTGTGGTCTGTGTGAGGGATGGTCTGTGGTCTGTGTGAGGGATGGTCTGTGGTCTGTGTGTGAGGGAGGGTCTGTGGTCTCTGTGTGTGAGGGAGGGTCTGTGGTCTGTGTGTGAGGGATGGTCCGTGGTCTCTGTGTGTGAGGGAGGGTCTGTGGTCTCTGGGTGCTGGGGTTCTCTGTGGTCTCTGGGAGTAGGGATGGTTCATGGTCTCTGGAAGCTGTTCAGACTGTCTGGAACGTGGCCTGGTGTTCCCTGGGTGTCTCTGGGGGAGGAAGGGCCTGGAACTGCTCTAGGCGATGCTGCTCTTGGGACCTGGGGGTATAGACCCCAGTCTGGAGACACCTGCTTTCCCACTCTGCCGGTCTTCCTGGGGTGCTGGGTGGCCAGCGTGATGCTGGCCCTGCTCTGCTGCTCAGGATGCAGGCCCTGCCCCTCGTCACTACGACCCCTCCCCAGGACCCCCTAGGTTGGGGCCATCTCAGAGGCCTGGTGGTCCAAGAGGGACAAGGGGTGTCCTCAAGCAAGTTGGGCCCCTTCCTTGGTGGTTTCCTGAGGGTGGTGTCGGCCGGCCAAACTGAAGCCCTAGACCTGCTTGGCTGCAAGGGGCCGGGACCGCGAGAGAGACCGGCCAGGGCCAAGGTCTCTGGGGTCAAGGTGAAGGCCGGGTGGGGGTCGCCACAGGCTGCTGCTCCTTTCTCCAGACACAGGGCAGCCTCACCACAACTCCAGAGGGACAGCTGAGAGGGAGGGAGTGTGTGTGTGTGTGTGTGTGTGTGTGTGTGTGTGTGTGTGTGCATGTGTGTGTGCATGTGTGTGCACGTGTGTGTGCCTGTGTGTGCGTACGTGTGTGTGCGTGTGTGTGTGCATGTGTGTGTGCATACGCGTGCGTGTGTGTGCCTGTGTGTGTGCGTGTGTGTGCGTGCGTGTGTGTGCGTGCGTGTGTGCGCGCACGTGTGTGTGCCTCTGTGTGTGTGCGTGTGTGTGTGCATACACGCGCGTGTGTGTGTGCGTGTGTGTGTGCCTGTGTGTGTGTGCCTGTGTGTGTGTGCATGTGTGTGTGCGTGTGTGTGCCTGTGTGTGCCTGTGTGTGTGTGTGTCTGTGCGTGCATACGTGTGTGTGCGTGTGTCTGCCTGTGTGTGCATACGTGTGTGTGCCTGTGTGTGCATACGTGTGTGTGCCTGTGTGTGTGTGTGCCTGTGTGTGCATACGTGTGTGTGCCTGTGTGTGTGCATACGTGTGTATGCATGTGTGTGTATGTTTGTGTGTGCGCACGTGTGTGCGCACTGGGGCTAGACTCAGGTCTAGTCATTATCCCCTAGCTTCTTTTTGCTCACAGTTGATGCTCTACCTCTTGAGCAACACCTCCACTTCTGGTTTTGTGGTGGTTAATTGGACATAAGAATCTTTAGGGTTTATCTACATGGGCTAGCTTTGAGCTAAGATCCTCAGCCTTGAGTGGCTAGAATTACAGGATGAACCTCGGGTGCCCAGACCAGAGGAAGAGCCTGCTCTGTCCCTCTCCGGGGCCTAGCCCTTGCTCGTGTTTGGGGAGCCCCGGCTGGGCTGCCCCAACCCCTCTGGTGGTCTACAGGTGAGCACGGCTTGGTTCCGGGGTTGGGAGCCGGAGGCTCAGGATGGGGCCTCCCTCTACAGGCCCAGGACTCATCCCACAGGCAGCGACTGGCCCGGTCTGAGCCTGGCTCCCAGCTCCCCCTGCTGTCCGCTGGACGCTCCTGGAGAAGGCCTGACCTCCCGCTCCAAGGCCCCTGCTCCCGCCCGGCAGCAGCCTGGCTCCACCTTACGGTCCGTGGGCGTTGGGCATCCCAGCACCGGAGCCTGGCTCTCCTCCCCGGGGGCTGCCCTGGGGGGGGTGCAGCACCCACCCTCCTGAGGGTCCTCTCCCACAGGGGTCGCATTCTTCCTGGGTCTCTGTCCTGAGGAACTGGCTGGGCGGAGCTCTAGCAGCCCTTCCCCTGCGCTGCCCGCCCACCACTCCAGGCCCATGTGAACGGAGCCTCGGCTCTCTGATCTAGGATGGTCCTCAGCCCAGGCCTTGAGGGCCTGTGAGCCCAGGTATGGCTGGCAGAAGAAGCCGCCCAGAGCACGGGCCACGCCATGTTCCCAGTGCCAGGTAAGGAAGGCCGGGCGGGAGCCCTGCACCCTGCTCACACCTGCAAAGCTAGCTCTGCAGGAGGCTGAGATCTGAGGATCCAGCTTCAATGAAAGTCTGTGAGACTCTGATCTCCAATGAACCACCGGAAAACCAGAAGTGGAGCTGTGGCTCCAGTAACAGAGCATCCGCCTTGAGTGGAAAGCTCAGGGACAGTGCCCAGGCTCTGAGTTCAAGTCAAATTAAAAAGGAAATAATGGAGGGAGGGAGGGAGGGAGGGAGGGAGGGAAGGAAAGAGCAGATGTGCTGTCATTGAGAGAGTGGACGGTCCAGCAGGTGCAGAGGCCACCAGATGGACGGTGAAGGGAGAAGTCGCGTCCTGTCCTGACTGACTGCCCCATGCGCCAGGCATGCAGATGGACAGACCGAGGCAGGGCAGACTGGCCTTCCCGTCTGCGGGCTCACCTGACTCCGGGACGCAGGTATGGCTGCCGGAGGACACGGGGGAGGGGACAGAGTCCACAGGACCCAACTAAGGAGGGCACAAGAGGTAAGGAAGTCAGAGGGGCGCCGGGGCTCGCACCTGTCACCCTAGCTACCGAGGAAGCAGAAACCTGCTTCCTCACTCAAAGTCGGCCTGGGCAGGTAAGGCTGTGAGACTCTTTCCCTCAAAAGCGAGCCAGGAGTAGAGCTGTGGCTCAGGTGGCAGAGCACCAGCCCCGACGAAGAAAGTGAAGGGGGATAGCGTCCAGGCCCCGAGTTCAAGCCCGGAGACTGGCACAAAGCAGAACAGAGCAGGAAGTAACAGAGCTCAGGTGTCAGGCCGCAGACCCACCGTGGAATGGGAGCCGGCACACACGCACACGGGACACGCCGGGGCGGGGGGGGGGGGGCAGCCCCAGCCCAGGCCAGAGGCCGGAGGCGCGGGCCAGGGGGCGTGGCGTCTCCAGACAGTGCCCACCCAGAGCCCAGCGCCTCCCCACCTTGCCTGGCTCTAACCACAGACACGGTCTGCCACTTGGGGCCAGAACCAAACCTCGGCCCCTCTGCGGGGGCCCGGGTGGTGCAGCCTGCCCTCCCCTGGTTTTCTGAGATGCCACCCCTCCTTCCTCCTCTCCATCCTCCGCTCCTCCAGTGGCCCATGCCCTGGGTCTGCCCCGGAGCTGCCTCCGCAGGGCCGGGTCTGGGGCAGGCCAAGGGTGGCTGCGGGGTCTCCAAGGGCCCGTCTCTACCCAAGCACCGGGCACCTCAGAGCCTGTGACCTGCCCATCTTCCATCTTCGCCTCGGGGTGCTAAGCGTCCTCCCCTGGAGGGGCTGTGTGTCCATGTCCCATTGCAGGGTGGGACCCACAGCCCAGCACCATCTTGGAGGACAGCAGGGATGGCGTTGTGAAGCATACTGTCCACGCTTGCCCAGGACACGGGGTGCCCGTGACAGCACCCCGGGGCACCCCACAGCCTCGTTGTCACAACCTGGCCATGGGCTGTGCAAGTGACAATACAGCACAGGGGCCCAGGGGCCCGCTCAGTCCTGTCTGCCACCTCCTCCTCCCCTCCCTGCCGCAGGTCCCCCACACAGGGCCGCTCCCAAGAAGCTGGGGAAGGGGCCGGGGCCTGGCAGGGCTGGATGGTGGGCGGCAGGGGGGCTCCCCCACATACACCTGCCCCTTCGCCTCCTCTTCCTGGGGCCTGGCCTGAGCTGGAGAGGTGCTGGTGGGCCGGTTTGCCTCCTCCTGGCGCCACAGCCTGGGGTGCTGGGAGTGGGCACAGTCCTGCCTGCGTGGGCCCCCGAGGGCCCTGCAGCCCTCGGTGTGTATCAAATAGCCCTGTAAGGCCCGTACCCCGAATCCACGTGGAAGGGGACGGTCCCTCAGTGGGGGTGGTCTTTGAGGGGACAACCGGGAGCCGGGAGCAGATGGCTCACGCCTGTCATCCTCGCGACTCTGGAGGCTGAGGTCTGAGTCGTGATTTGAAGCCAGCCCGGGCAGCAAAGCCCAGGAGAGTTTCTTTTTTTTGGGGGGGGGGGTCTGGTCGTGGGGCCTGAACTCTGGGCCTGGGCGCTGTCCCTCAGCTCTTCAGCTCAAGGCTAGCACTGTACCACTTGAGCCACAGTGCCACTTCCGGCTTTTTTCTTTTTGCTTATGTGGTGCTGAGGAATCGAACCCAGGGCCTCAGGCATGCAAGGCAAGTGCTCTACCACTGAGCCACCTTCCCAGCCCCCTCCCCCCAGGAGAGTTTTGACTCCAACTAATCACCAGCAGGAGAGGTGTGACTCACGTGGTAGAGTACCACCTTGAGTGAAAGAAGCCTCGTGAGAACACAAGACCCTGAGTTCAATCCCCAGTACACCCACATGCACACACACACACACATGCGCACACACACACATGCACATGTGCACACAGCAGCTGAGGAAGCATGGTCATAGGCTGGTCCTAACCACATGACTCTGCCCCGCAAGAGGACACGTCCAGGCGCGAGCACTGCATGGTGGCCGGCAGCAAGCCAGGGAGGAGCCGGCCAGGCGAGCTGCGGGAGGAGGACCCCGGCCCAACTCCTCCACCTCATCTGTGCTCCAGCGTGGAGGCCGGGCTGCTGTGCTGCTGCCTGTGCTGCTGCGTTGCACGGGCTCCCACCCCGGGGCGCTCAAGCACCAGGTGTGGTTCAGATGTGAGCCCGGGCGCTGAGTGAAGCAGCCGGTCCCACACTCCACCTGAGTGTGCCAGGGAGGAGGAAGGGGCAGGGCCCACACAGCTGTCAACCAAGAAGCTCCTGCTCCAGGGCAAACGGGACCCCTCCAGAGGGCCAGGGCAGCCACCCACCGCAGGAGATCCTGAACCAGACCCGCACGCGGGCACTGAGCAAAGAGCAATACCGAGGGGTATCTGAGTATAATGCTTCTATTGAAAGTGGGCTGGCCTCTAACTGCCTCTTCCCTCCCACCGCACAGACTCAGTGCTGGGGAGAGCAGGCTCTGGAGGCAGTGCTGGGAGGGGGAGGGGCTGGAGGCAGTGCTGGGAGGGGAGGGCAGGCTCTGGGGGCTGTTCTGGGAGGGGGAGGGCAGGCTCTGGGGGCAGTGCTGGGAGGGGGAGGGGCTGGAGGCAGTGCTGGGAGGGGGAGGGCAGGCTCTGGAAGCTGTTCTGGGAGGGGGAGGGCAGGCTCTGGGGGCAGTGCTGGGAGGGGGAGGGGCTGGAGGCAGTGCTGGGAGGGGGAGGGCAGGCTCTGGAGGCTGTTCTGGGAGGGGGAGGGCAGGCTCTGGAGGCAGTGCTGGGAGGGGGAGGGCGGGCTCTGGAGGCTGTTCTGGGAGGGGGAGGGCAGGCTCTGGAGGCTGTTCTGGGAGGGGGAGGGCAGGCTCTGGAGGCTGTTCTGGGAGGGGGAGGGCAGGCTCTGGAGGCAGTGCTGGGAGGGGGAGGGCGGGCTCTGGAGGCTGTTCTGGGAGGGGGAGGGCGGGCTCTGGAGGCTGTTCTGGGAGGGGGAGGGCGGGCTCTGGAGGCAGTGCTGGGAGGGGGAGGGCGGGCTCTGGAGGCTGTTCTGGGAGGGGGAGGGCGGGCTCTGGAGGCTGTTCTGGGAGGGGGAGGGCGGGCTCTGGAGGCAGTGCTGGGAGGGGGAGGGCAGGCTCTGGAGGCTGTTCTGGGAGGGGGAGGGCAGGCTCTGGAGGCTGTTCTGGGAGGGGGAGGGCAGGCTCTGGAGGCTGTTCTGGGAGGGGGAGGGCAGGCTCTGGGGGCAGTGCTGGGAGGGGGAGGGGCTGGAGGCAGTGCTGGGAGGGGGAGGGCAGGCTCTGGAGGCAGTGCTGGGAGGGGGAGGGCAGGCTCTGGAGGCTGTTCTGGGAGGGGGAGGGCAGGCTCTGGGGGCAGTGCTGGGAGGGGAGGGCGGGCTCTGGAGGCTGTTCTGGGAGGGGGAGGGCAGGCTCTGGAGGCAGTGCCGGGAGGGGGAGGGCAGGCTCTGGAGGCTGTTCTGGGAGGGGGAGGGCAGGCTCTGGAAGCTGTTCTGGGAGGGGGAGGGCAGGCTCTGGAGGCTGTTCTGGGAGGGGGAGGGCAGGCTCTGGAGGCTGTTCTGGGAGGGGGAGGGCAGGCTCTGGGGGCAGTGCTGGGAGGGGAGGGCGGGCTCTGGAGGCTGTTCTGGGAGGGGGAGGGCGGGCTCTGGAAGCTGTTCTGGGAGGGGAGGGCAGGCTCTGGAGGCAGTGCTGGGAGGGGGAGGGCAGGCTCTGGAGGCAGTGCTGGGAGGGGGAGGGGCTGGAGGCAGTGCTGGGAGGGGGAGGGCAGGCTCTGGAGGCAGTGCCGGGAGGGGGAGGGCAGGCTCTGGAGGCTGTTCTGGGAGGGGGAGGGCAGGCTCTGGAGGCTGTTCTGGGAGGGGGAGGGCAGGCTCTGGAGGCTGTTCTGGGAGGGGGAGGGCAGGCTCTGGAGGCTGTTCTGGGAGGGGGAGGGCAGGCTCTGGGGGCAGTGCTGGGAGGGGGAGGGCAGGCTCTGGAGGCTGTTCTGGGAGGGGGAGGGCAGGCTCTGGGGGCAGTGCTGGGAGGGGGAGGGCAGGCTCTGGAGGCTGTTCTGGGAGGGGGAGGGCAGGCTCTGGGGGCAGTGCTGGGAGGGGGAGGGCAGGCTCTGGAGGCTGTTCTGGGAGGGGGAGGGCAGGCTCTGGAGGCAGTGCTGGGAGGGGGAGGGCAGGCTCTGGAGGCTGTTCTGGGAGGGGGAGGGCGGCCTCTGGAAGCTGTTCTGGGAGGGGAGGGCAGGCTCTGGAGGCAGTGCTGGGAGGGGGAGGGCAGGCTCTGGAGGCTGTTCTGGGAGGGGGAGGGCAGGCTCTGGAGGCTGTTCTGGGAGGGGGAGGGCGGGCTCTGGAGGCAGTGCTGGGAGGGGGAGGGCAGGCTCTGGAGGCTGTTCTGGGAGGGGGAGGGCGGGCTCTGGAGGCTGTTCTGGGAGGGGAGGGCAGGCTCTGGAGGCTGTTCTGGGAGGGGGAGGGCAGGCTCTGGAGGCAGTGCTGGGAGGGGGAGGGCGGGCTCTGGAGGCTGTTCTGGGAGGGGGAGGGCGGGCTCTGGAGGCTGTTCTGGGAGGGGAGGGCAGGCTCTGGAGGCTGTTCTGGGAGGGGAGGGCAGGCTCTGGAGGCAGTGCTGGGAGGGGAGGGCGGGCTCTGGATAGCACCAGGACAGCTCAGGCACACAGCTGTCAACATGGAGTCATCAGCACAGGGGACAAGGTGGGAAAAGATAAAAAGGAAGAAGGAAGAAGGAGTGGAAGGAAGGAGGAAGGAGAGGAAGGAAGGAAGGAAGGGAGGAAGGGAGGGAGGGAGGAAGGGAGGGAGGGAGGGAGGGAGGGAGGGAGGGAGGGAAAGAAGGGGAGAAGAAAGGCAGAAAAAAAGGAAAAGAAAATAGGGAGGAGGGAGAAATGGATGAAATAAGGAAAAGAAGAAAGGAGGGAGGGAGGGAAGAAAGGCAAGAGGGAGGAGAGATTAGGGAAGGAAGGTGGGAGGGAGGAAGGAGGAGGAGCAAGGTGGGAGGAGGAAGGAAGAGGAAGGAGTAGGGGAAGGAGGAGGAGGAAAGTGGGAGGAAGGAGGGAGGAGGAGGGAGGTGGGAGGGAGAAGGAAGGAGGTGAGAGAAGGAGGAGGAGAGAGGAAGAGGAAGGTGGGGAGGAAGGAGGAAGCTATGTCCCCCTGGGGGGGGCAGGTAGGAGAGGGAGGGGGTGTGGGGGGAGCAGGAGAAGCCCCAGGTCCCCAGGTCCCCAGGGAGGGGGTGTGGGGGAGCGGGGAGGGAGGGGGTGTGGGGGAGCGGGGAGGGAGGGGGTGTGGGGGAGTGGGGAGGGAGGGGGTGTGGGGAGCGGGGAGGGAGGGGGTGTGGGGAGCGGGGAGGGAGGGGGTGTGGGGGAGCGGGGAGGGAGGGGGTGTGGGGGAGCAGGGAGGGAGGGGTGTGGGGAGCGGGGAGGGAGGGGGTGTGGGGAGCGGGGAGGGAGGGGGTGTGGGGGAGCGGGGAGGGAGGGGGTGTGGGGGAGCGGGGAGGGAGGGGGTGTGGGGGAGCGGGGAGGGAGGGGGTGTGGGGGAGCGGGGAGGGAGGGGGTGTGGGGAGCGGGGAGGGAGGGGGTGTGGGGAGCGGGGAGGGAGGGGTGTGGGGGAGCGGGAGAAGCCCTGGTCCCCCATGCGGGCGGCACTTGGAGCCGCCTGCTGTGTGTGGCTGCAGCTGCAGGGCTCTTCCTCTGGCGGTGGCCGGCGCTGCCCGCGGCCAGCATCTGTGGCTGTCCGTCAGCAACGGACCCCCTGCCCCATCAGGCTCCTGTCCTCGCTGCCGGCCTTGCTGCCTCTCTCCACTCTAAATCCCCCTCATCCCCAGCCTCTCCTGCCCAAGCCTGAGGTCATCGGATGAGGGGCTAGGCGCGTCCCGTGTCCGTCCACGGGGTGGGGGGGGCACCTCGCTGACTCCTCACCTCCCGGCAGCGCCCGTGGCCGGCAGCCCCCAGGGAGCCTTGACTGTGTCCCTCACCACATAGAGCCGGGTGGTGGAGGGGAGACCCAGCAGCCCTGGGGTCCCAGGAGAGAGAAGGGGTACCTGCGTCCTCCTCCTCACCCGTGGTCTCCGCTGTGGGGAGCACAGGCCAGCATCTGCCTTGGTCACAGAATTAATTACATCTCCGTGCCCCTGGGAGATGGGACGCCTCCCCCGTCCCCACAGCCCCTCCCCCTGTCCTCCCGCACTCTGGGTGCTGGGGCCTGCACCTGCACGGTGCCCTCCTGACTCCCCATCTTCTTGGAGGCTCCCTGGCCAGCGGCCCATGGGCTGGGACCCCAGGAGCAGTGCGGTGCTGGGGCGCAGGGCTGCCTTGCGGCTGGTAGTGTGAACTTCCCAACGGGCCCGGCCGAGGTTGGGCTGGCGGGTTTGGTCTGGGAGAGAAGGCTGTGTCTGCTCCTGTCTGGCCGCTCAGGACTCCGCTGACTGTGTTTGTAAGGCTGGGACACAGCGTTGGGGGGGCTGAATGCCCACCCAGAGCAACTCCACATCTCGTTCACACCAGTGAGCAGCCGCCATCAGCCAGCACGGAGGCACAGGCTGACAAAGCAAATGCACAAACAAAGAACGATTCCTACGAATACCGCAGATTGAATCTACCGGGCACTGTGGATCACAGACTCACGCCTGTCATCCTAGGTACGCAGGAGGCTGAGGATCCCAGTTCAAAGCCAGCCCAGGACAGAAAAGCCCATGAGACTCTTCTCCCAGCAACGAGCCAGAAGTAGAGCTGTGGCTCAAGTGGCAGAGCGCCAAATCTGGAGTAAGCTCAGGGGCAGGCCCTGAGTTCAAGCCGCAGTCCCTGCACGTACACATGCATCGAATGAGACACCCGAGAGCCAGGAGTTCATCAAAGTCGCCGGGTGAAACTCTCCCTCCTCGGACTCGAAAAGGAGACCCTGCCGGCTGGGTCCGCCTGTGACAGACACCGCACCTCAGAGAGACACACCAGAATGGCTGCTCCAACCTGTGCCGTCCACAGAGGTAACACGTCCCTGCAGAGATGTTCCTGCCTGTCAGGACTACCCCAGCCCCGGCCTCCAGCCTCGGCCTCAGCCTCTGCCTGGGCCTCTCCACCCTCCAGCCTCAGCCTCAGCCTCCGTCTGGGCCTCTCCACCCTCTAACCTCTATCTGGGCCTTTCCACCCTCCAGCCTCCATCTGGACCTCTCCACCCTCCAGCCTCAGCCTCAGCCTCTGCCTGGGCCTCTCCACCCTCCAGCCTCCATCTGGGCCTCTCCACCCTCCAGCCTCCGTCTGGGCCTCTCCACCCTCCTGTCTTCGTGCATCGCTGCCTGTGCACAGCCTGCTGTTGTGTGAGTGTGTGAGAGGTGTGTGGATGAGGCTTACTGCTATGGATGAGGACTGGAGGGAGGCCCGAGTGGCTGGCGGCCTCTCCCCCGCCTCCCTGTCCCTGTGGCCAGTCCCCTCCCCTCCCCCGTGCCAGGCAGCCGGCGCACGGTGGCTCTGCATGGTGGCCAGGCCAGCTGTCTTCCAGTAGCCTCTCTCTGCGACACCCAGAACCCTCACACTGAGGCCTGCTCCCCGGTCATCCACAGCCCCTGTCCTGATGTCCTTCACCTGATCCAGTGCTCCTCCTGGCCTCCTGCCAAAGAGCCAGGCCTCTGCTCCTCCCTCACAGGGGCCTACGGAAGTCCCATCCAGGCCACTGGCCCTTCCACACCGAGTGGGCATCCCAGGGCGGGGCGTCCAGCCCCGTCTCCAGGAAGGCCGTCCCAGCATCTCGGGAAGCCATGCGGGCTGTGCAGCAAGGCCCCAGCCTCCTGCCCAGCACACGCTCACTGGCATGCATGTGCATCATCCGTCATCGTTTGCACAATCTACGTGACTCAGCGTGTAATATGTGAGTCATGCAAACCCAGAGCGGGCAGGGGTGGTGCATATTGTAACACTAGAGCTACGCAGGAGCCTGAGGCGGGAGGATCAGTGGACCCCAGGAGTTCAAGGCCAGCCTGGACAGCACGCTAAGTCCCCAAGGAAGAAGGAAAGGAAGAGTGAGGAAGGAGAGGAAATGGAAAGAGGAGGAGGAAAAGAAGTGGAGAAGGGAGGAGGAGGAGGAGAAGCAGGAAAGCCAGGCTCCAAGGCTCAGCCCTGTCATCCTAGCTGCTCAGGCCGGAGGCTGAGATCTGGGGAATGCAGATCAAAGCCAGCCTGGCCAGAAAAGTTCATGTGACTCTTCTCTCCAGTTAATCATGAAAAAATCAGAAGTGGAACTGCGGTTCACGCAGCAGAACACCAGCCTTGACTGAAAAAGCTAAATGAGAGTATGAGGTCCTGAGTTCAAGTCCCAGTCCCAGTACCCAAGAAAGAAGGCTCCTGAGATGGGGGGGGGGGGGGGGGACAGGAGGCAGGGAGTGGGCAGGGACTGTGTGGTGATTCACAAAATGACTCTCCCCGTGCCACGCAGGACTCCCACGTGCCTGGGCAGATGTGAATTACGAGAGGAATAAATCAGCACTGTCCACGAGGCCGGACACCACCTCCACCTCTGAGGGTGGGAAGCGCGGGCGGCCGGGACGCTGGTGGTGCCTGGGCTCCTGCACCACGCTAGGAAATGCCCAGCACTGTCCGTGCTGCCCTGTGTCTAACTCAACCTGTGCAACTCCACCACGCCCCACGCCCGCCTGTCCCACCTACACGATCCGGCCGTGACCCGTGCGGGACAGCCGCTGTCCCCACAGCGGCCCACGGAGGGCTAGGGCTCCCCCCCCCCCCCCCCCCGCCACCGCCACAGGCGTCTGAGAACTCGGGCAGTGAGTGCGGAGACACACAGAGCCCGGAAGCCTGGAGCGCTGCCCAATCAGATAGCAGGGCATTAAAAGCGCCCGAGATCCAGGTCACTGACAAAGCAGAAGGGAACGCAAAGCTGGTGTTTGAACAGCGGTGTGCTGGCGCTAAAGGACAGTCACTAGGACACAGTGAGGGAGCTGTGAGGTAGGTGGATGAAGGCGGCGACACCTCAGCCAGCCCTGGCCACATAGCCTGGTATCCCCACCCTCTGAGGCTGGCGCTGGAGGGTCGTGAATTTAAAGCCAACCCCGGGCTGCACACCCAGAGACCCTGTCTTCAAAAAAACCCAAAACCCTCACATCGTCACATCCGCAATCCTGTTATCCTAGCTAATCAGAAGGCTGAGACCCAGAGAATCAAGGTTTGGGGTCAGCCTGGGCTGAAGAGTCCTTGAGATGCCACCTTCAAAATAACCGGCAAAAAGCAGAGGTGGCGGTGTGGCTCAGGTGGTAGAGCACCTACTAACAGGGAATGCAAGACCCTAGGTATAAACACTTCTAAACAAACCATCCAACCAACCAAGGATGTTGTGAGGATGAATACCTAAATATTCCTTAGGTTGTGCTTGAAAGAGTTAAATGTCTTCCTGCCTTTAACCCCTCAAATCCAGCTGGGCAAAGCCACAGTGGCAGGGGCAGAGCAGCCCAGCTGGACGATGTCCAGTGGGACAGTGCGCTGAAGCACTGGGAAAAACGAAGGGACAATGCTGTTACTAAAGAACTCAAGTCCCTGGGAAGACAGACAAGACATCAACAGTGCACAGCCCAGTGCAGTGGCTCACAGCTATAATAAATCCCAGTTACTCCAGAGAGCGGGAATGGAGGATTGCGGTTCAAAGTCAGCACAGCCAGGCAAGGTCAAGAGATTTTCTCTCCAGTTAACCACCAAAATCCAGAAGTGAAGCTGTGGCCCAAGTGGTAGAGCACCAGCCTTCAATGAAAAAGCCAAGGAGCCGGGCACCCGTGGCTCTCACCTGTCATCCCAGCTACTCAGGAGGTTGAGGTTTGAGGATCACAGTTCAAAGTCAGCCCGGGCAGGAAAGTCGGTGAGACTTATCCCCAATGAACCACCAGAAACCCGGAAGTGGCGCTGTGGCTCAAGCAGTAGAGCGCTCTCCTGGAGCTGAAGAGCGCAGGGACAGCGTCCAGGCCCAGAGTTCAAGCCCCATGACTGACAAAAAAGAAAAGAAAGAAAGAAAGGAAGGAAGGAAGGAAGAAGGAAGTAAGGAAGGAAGGAAGGAAAGAAGGAAGAGTGAGCCAAGGAGAGCACGAGGCCTTGAGTTCAAGCCCCAGCACTGCTGTTAAAGGAAACACAGAAAATATTCAAACCAGTCATTCCTCAGGATGGAGATGCAAATGGTCCATAAACACAAAAGGGATCACGCTGGGGAGGACCGTGAGGAGCTGGTGGGGTTGGGGCGGGCCCTGACCGGCCCCTGCGGCCCCTGCGGCACCTCCAAAGTTGCCCTTCGCCGCGGGTTCTGCTCCTGGACGCACTCACAAGCAGAAGGGAACGCTGGGTCCACCGCACGGCTCCTGGCACCCCGACAGACAGCGTGTGCCGGGGATGAAATGGCGGCCCACTGCCATCCTCTTCACCGCAAGGGTGGACCTCGGGATATGTGGAGGACACGCTTCCTGATCGTGAGCAGGCTGCCGTGAGCACTCTGGTCAGGTGTGCTCACAGGTCACCCCGCATGGCATGCCGGAGGGGTGAACGCCACCCCATTCCCTAGCAGTGGGCGGGAGGAGCAGGCCCCGCCTCCCTGCACCTGCTTGGCCCCAATTTGTAACCCCTGTGGGCTTGTGGGCTTCTCGAAGGTTCTGGTGGCCTCCTGGACTTCCTCAGTGCCCGCGCTCATGCCTGCCACGGGCCGGCTCCCCGAGCCCCCGCAGACCCCACTCCCCCCCTCCCCAGTTCCCCCTTAGTCCTCAGCTTCAGGGCTTGCATCTTGTTAGATTCTGAGAATTCCCCCCAGGGACCCTGGCGCTCCATACAAATCCATTCTCACATGAGAGATGTGTGTGATTTGGGCTTGAACTCAGGGCTTGGGCACTGTTCCTGAGCTGCTTTGCTCCAGGCTGACACTCTACCACTTAAGCCACAGCTCCACTGGGAGTCTGTGGCTGGTGAGTCTCACACACTTTTCTGCCTGGGCTGGCTTTGAACCTCGGTCCTCAGATCCCTACAGCTGAGTATCTTGGATTCCAAGTGTGTGTCCCCAGCTCCTGGCTCCAGGCTCCTGCTGGGATTTGGGCTCCAGAGGGTTGTGCAGGCACCGCTGGCCCCCTACACTGCTGGGGGGGGGGTCATTTCTGCTGTCCTCCCTGGCCCTCCTTCCCTTCTGAGGGGCAGCGGAGACTCCTGGGGACACAGCACACATCCTCCCAGGCAGCTGAGCCTGGAGCCCTAGCCCAGGACTGTGCGGGACAGCTCAGAGGGGGCGCTGTGTGGAGGACCAGGGTTTTATAGGGAGCTCTGTGCTGCCCTGACCCCCAGCATTGCCCCTGGGCCCTGGCCCGGCCAGTGGAGCCCCCCCCACCCCAGCCCCCAGGGATCCCGGAACTCGTAGGGGCAGATTAACCCGAAAGAAGCATGCAATTGTACTTACGCAGCTTGGGGGTGGGGGGACAGGGAGCTGGGAGGACAGGTGACTCACAAAGCCGGCAGAGGCCGGTCCAGTGTGGCGGGCAGTGGACAAAGCACTGGGAGGAAGCAGGGGAACTGCAGAGAAGGATTAAAAGATAAGAGTTAATGAGGTCAGCGGGACCTGCAAGGCTTTGGGAGATAAGGGCTCGCCTTTGTCTCTCTAAGAGAGTCCTCTTCTGAGTCACAGCCTGAAGGCCAGAAGGACCTTTCTCTTCGCTTGCTGGGCGGCTGGTGGGGTGGGTGGCAGGGACCCCTTCGGGGTGGCCCCCAGCACCTCTTTCCGTACAGGCCTCAGAGAACTGCCTTCCACTTACTTCTTTCTCTACGTTTTTTTTTCTTTTTTGGGGGGTTCACAATCTGTTGATTATCCTGCTGTTTTTTCTGGCTGTGGGCACACCAGTGTCTGTCCTTCGGGTGAATATCGCTTTGCCTCTGCTGGCACTGCGGGCACCTGCTCGGTGTAGTTCGCTATTTCTTAGCGTCGCTGGATGGAAAGTTTTATAATGATTCTTTACTAATGGCATTATTACTAATGGCATTATTTAAAGCCAGACATTTCATTCCTGCCCCAATCAATTGGGACATAGGCACTTTTATTTTATTCAGAACAAATATTTTCTACTTTCTTTTGTGTGTGTGGTGATAACTAGGGCTTGAACTCAAGGCCTGGGTGCTGTCTGTCCCTTAGCTTTTTTGCTCAAGGCTGATTTTCTAACACTTGAACCACCTCCACTTCTGGCTTTCTCTTCATAGACTTTTCTTTCCTGGCTGGCTTCAGACTTCAGTCTTCAAATCTCAGCCTCCTGAATGGCCAGGATTATAGATATGAACTACCAGTGTCTGGCAAGATACATTCTTAAACAGGGAGCAAAGATAGTTCTAAAGTAGCTGCAAGACAAAGAATAAACAGACTCAGAAGTGAGAGAATTCAGAACTCAGGAGGCGTGAAAACATCTGAGGCACAGGGTTTTCCAAGCACCTGAAAGAGCGGGTTTGTTAAGTCAGAAAAATGAGCAGAATAACCGCCCATCCCTAGAAATCCTGTCATCCTAGCTACTCAGGAGGCTGAGATCTGAGGATCTAAGTTCAAAGTCAGCCCAGACAGGGAACTCTGTGAGACTCTTATCTCCAATAAACTACTCAAAAAAAGCCTGAAGTAGTGCTGTGGCTCAATGGTAAAGTGCTCACCTTGAGAAAAATAAATAAATAAAAGCTTAGGAACAGGGCCCAAGCCTTGAGTTGCCCCAGGACCAGCAAAAGAAAAGTAAAATGGGAGGGGAGGAGTTTCTGGGGCTT